GCTGTGAAACAGATGGGACCCCAGAAAATTAATTTGAATTCAAAGTAAATTTAGTAATGCAAAACAAGTTCGTCAATGTTCATTATTTGGTGTAACTTCATTATATATTTATGAAAACGTGTCTTCCTTGTTCCTCCTAATATTACTAACAACTGTACTCCATTCTTTTCAAATCCTCATTTACGGAGAATTGAATCTGTACTTTAAATCAAGTAGGAGTTGGTTTTGTGAAAGAAGGTCCTGTGTGGTCCTGTGTACACATTGGTGTGCACGTAAAGGGATCCCTAGCAGTTGGAATTCAATTTAAGACTATTTCCTGAAATCACAATATTAGGGTCTTTGAAATATGTGGACTCCATTGGCTTCAATTTGATTTGGTCTGATCCCAAAAGGACTTTCTACATTGGATATTCACGAAAATGCATGTGAAAAATACCGTCACATTTGGAATTGAAAGAAAATTTGGATGAAAAGCACTGTCTTGCCAAAAATCTCCTGCCTTGAATTGCACATGTAACCATAGAAAATACACATAACAATATGTTAACCCCAAAATTACTGTATTATTGTGTAGGGAGATTTATATCTCGATCGTTGCATTTCAAGAATACAAACAAATGACTTCAAGAAAGAAAACATAATGTAATCTAACAGGAATCGAAACAAATCTATCAATCTATTTGGAGAAGGAGATTCATAATAACCTTCCCATCGGGAAACCTTTTAACAAAATACAGATAATTTAACAAAAGTATTGTAACCTATTTAAATATCTAATAAAGTATGTAGTGTCTTTAGTTATACAATTCTGTCTTGTAATGCCTGCATGTTGATGTTGTAACATTTTGCCATGATTCAATATTAAAAAAAAATCTTTTTAATGTTTATGAAAATTATTGATGTTGTAATCTTAGCCTACTACCCTTGTTGGCTTCTCAGTATTATTATTTATGTCAGTAAAAAATGTTTTTAAATATTTTTTTTTATTATTTATTTATTTAAATGACAATATAATTTAAGATAAAGTTTTCAAATTGTCATGAATTTAATTTTATTAAACCATATTTGGTATTGAATAATTTACATGTAATCAAATAATATTTTTGCTAGATTTAAAAATGTTTCAATCCTAAATAATTTTTATGGGAATTTTTTTTAATTTGAACTGAAATGAAATGAATGTATATGAAAATATTTTGCTAACTAATAATTGTTATGCTGTCTAAGTGGTAAGCTTGACATGACTAAATCCCACAGTTGACAAAAAATAATGGCTTAATTTGGGCAGAGGGGATGAACTCAAAAGGGATTTTGTTTGTCAGAAGAGGTGCCATAAGTTTGTCCAAAAAGTATTTGTTAAAAGAAATCAAAACGAAGGTGGCTTAGTTTTGTTTGTTGAAAGAAGAATAAATAGGTGACTGGTGAGAAAAAAAAAAAGTTTAATCTGCCAAAATGTTTTGACAGATAAAGGAAACAAGTTGCTATAAAGGAGTTCTGTTTTCTGAGAGAAAAGGCAGGGTTAGAACAAACTGAGGAAAGGGTTTAATATCATGATGGCACTTGCTCAAAGTCTATGATTTTATAGATATTGATATTCAGGCTTCTGCAGTTAATGTCCAAGAACATTCGTCTGATAATTTTGATGCATTATTATTGATCGAACATGATGAGATGTAGTAAAGGTATGCGATGGCCATTATGATAAAGAAATAGTCTTGAGGTCATATTCCAAGGATGTATGGAACCTCCAGGCAACTACAATATTTGGATGGAAACATCTGTGGTAATTTTGAAATCGTCTTGATAAAGTGTTGAATTTCCAATCATAAAATCTCTATGGATATTCTCTACAAATTTTTTCCGTTGGAGACGTGGAGTAAAATATTTTGAGCTAATTTTACACTCTTGTTTTTGGATGATGTAAAAATGTTGGCAAGTTGTCAAGTTTCCGTCGTCGTTAATTATCGTAGTTGGACTTTGGTTTATATTTTTTATTTGGCAGTAATTATTGCATGTCGTATACAGTCAGACAGACTGTGTAACCATTAATAGGATCATCATGTGATTATGAAATGAATATTGTTTAAGCTGATACAATACCCAAAAGGCATAGGATACTGCACATTCATTAAGATCCATTTTCAGATGATTCTTGAAATATTTGCGGGTTGGGTGGGGTGGGCAGGGACAGTGTGAATGTTATATAAAGTGAAAGCCAACTTAAGGCTTTGCGTAAAGAGGTAGTTAATGTTGGTGGGGTTGCTTCAGTTTCATTTTTGCTTAGCATTTGGTGAGTTCTGGTTATTTGTAAGGTACATTTTTTGCGAAAAACTGTTGAGGTTAGTTAAAAGGGGGCGGGGGGAGCAAAATCCATGCCTGGCAAGGTCTTAACAATCCATGTTAAAATAATGTAGGCTACATAAATATTTTTGTTTTGTTTGTGTTTATTTGTGCCGCCAATGCCCTGTCTTGTATATTTGTGGTTCCAGTTCCTCATCTCAACTGTGTGTGATCCGCTCGCTATCTGAGTAGTCTCCACACAGAACGTACTTCTATTGTTTTATCCAAAAGTGAAAGTGGACTTTGTTCCTATGGTTTTGTATCTTTGTTTTCATTGTGATGTGTATCGCTCCCCCCTCTATTCGATGTTCTACCCCTCTATCTAAACAGCTCCTGCAGTGCTGACATCTATTTGTACAGTGGTGTTATTCGATAAATAGGGCTGCAATGATACCTGATAGTGGATTATGTGATTAAGATATGAAAAGTCGAATTGTTTTCATCTGAACTTGCCCGGAATATAATAACTCTGACAAAAACCTCAAATATCAAGGAATTCAGCTTCAGTATGCTGCTCTGTCAAAATCTGTGTGGATTACAGCGTTGTTGCAGCCCTAATGTCAAAAGAATTGATTCCGGGTATCCCCAAACACAAACTAAAAATGATGTTTTGAACATATAAAATGCTCTTAATTATACGAGTCGGGTTGAGGAATACCAAAAGCCTTTAGTAATTCAGTGTTGTTAATTTCAGTATACAGGTTCTCTCCCCTTTTATCCCACGATTATCCTACTAACGATGTGTCTCCACTCCAACCTTATCTCAGCTGTGTTGTTGGCTGTAGTGCTAAATTTTTATGTCATCTGTGCATGAATTAAAATTTTGAAAACAAGTAGCATACAAAATTGAAGATATTCCCCAGACTTCGGTGTATTAAGGTTGGTTTCTTAAAAGCTTTACCCCCAAAAATAATATTTAAAAGGTCAGGGCAGTAAATTGGGGGATATACACATTAGAAAAATCATTACTCAGATGATAGTATTGACATATATTTTTCAAGGCACCCCCCCCCCCACTTACCTGTTAATTAGGACTGATAATGAACTGTATTTGCCTATAGTAAGCCATGGTATAATACAACTGAAAAAACAATGAAAGATTGTTTCTATGCATGGTTAATTAGATGTTTTGTAGTATAATAAACTACAACTTGGCAAATTGTCAACGTCAACCAGGAACTAAATAAACCACAATTACTTACTTACATATAAAACCAAGAAATATTTTCATTGTGGAAATACAGTTTAGTCTTAAATATTTACCTTTACTGTTGGAAGGGGATGGTGGAAGAAAAGGGGTTTGAAACCTATTCATGGGTATTTTAAGATTCATTTAAATATCCAGGAACGGGGTCAGCAAAAATTGATTTTAAAGGGACAATGTACAGGTTTCAGATAGAAGATATTTATCAAAGGATAATTAAAATCAAGTAAGAGTTCTGTCAAGAAAAATGTTTTTAACCGAAGAATGAGAGGGTTTTGGCTATATTTATCAAAGGGTTTTCATTTCTATCAATTTAAAGGGATAATGAAAGGGGTTTCTATTTTCTAATATAATAATATTTATCAAAGGGAGATCCGAGTTATATCTTGAAAAAGATGGTTTTGAAATGAACAGGAAAAAATTGAGTTTTATAATCTACATTTATATGCATGTCAAATTGATGAGTATAATCATGGAATGGTATTTAAGCATGCCATACATGTAACCTAACTCCGCATTGGGTAGAATGAAATAATTTGGAAAATAACCTAGTCCATAGAGTTCTGTTATTTAATGAATTGGTACATTATGAATATCTATCGTCTTCAATTTTCCCTAACTATCCCACTTGTTTCACTCGTAAATTCAGGTTTTTAATAGTTTTCAAATTGGTTCAAATTTCATCACCCCACCCCCTCCGGCCCTAAATCTTTTACCCTACTTTTGACTAACAACTCATTACCCCTACTAATGTGTTATTGTCAGCATTGTTTGAGAATACCGTGTGTCCCCTTGTTTACCAATTCATTCTACTTCTGCCACCTTTATATAATCCCAATTGTTATGATTCAATCCATTTTCTCTTGATGTGCTTCCACATGTTATATCTTGATTCTATCCTACTTGTTACACCTTGATCTGATTCCACTTATCATGCGTGTGATCCAACCCTACTTATTACTTGATCAAGTCCCACCTGATATATCTTGATCCGGTTTCCGATCTCACTATATCTTTATCCGTTTTTCTGTTGTCACTTGCTATATATTGATCCTGTCCCACTTGTAATATCTTGATCCGCTTTCTGGTCCCACTTGTTATATCTTGATCCGGTCCCACTTGCAATACCAGTCCCACTTGTTATATCTTGATCCTGTTTCTCTATGGCTATATATAGCTATATATAAAAGTTGTATTGGTCTTTGTTGATTTCGTTTCATTGTGCTTCTAAATGGTGTTATGATTACTGAAATAAGAATTCCCAGAAGATGCTCAACTATGGACTGCCGCCATCTGCTTTCATTTTTTTGTCCTTGCAGCTTTTATTCCCCCCCGTTTCCTAGCAATATATTCTTGGTATCATGGTAAATTATCTTATTAAAATACAATGTTACGTGCAAGGTTTGTTTTTTGAAACGTGTTTTGATTGTTAATGATGTAAATTTGTTGTATTCAGAAATCTAGTATCAGCTTCACAAGATGGTAAATTAATAGTATGGGATGGATATACAACTAATAAGGTAGGTTAATTGTCTCATTACCCATTGGTGGATATTTGTTTGAAGGTGGGGGGAGGTGTCTCATTAATCAATGGTGAATATTTGTTTGGAGGTATTGTGGGGTGGGGTGAGGGTTGGAGGTCGTCCTCCGAGGAAGTTTGAACCATTGTGGTGTTGTGGTGATATATGTAGGTGTCACATATCTGAAACCGAATATAACATTCAGTTTCGTCAGCTGCATCAACCCAACCAACAAAAAGCTCAAATTGACTTGTTAAATAGAAACAGAATAAAAGTGAAAATTTTATACTGTTACGTTGATTGTGGGAGAGTCTGTGGTCCCCACCAGGATGCGCCACTTTCATTGATGATATTCATTAACTTAATTGTTCAATTCCTTTCTCGGCTCCGCAAATTTGGTTTTATAGAATAGAAGCCTTTGGTATCAATTTGTTGTTCTTGTGGAATTTATATAGTTTCCCAATACACAAATGTTTATGAAGGAACTCATTAGAGCCAAAGAGACGCAGTCTAAATTATTTCTGGTTTTCATGTTCGCAAAAAAACGATTGCTTTTAAATTTTAGTGTATTTTTTTTGTGGGGTTGCAGATCTTTATTTGATAGGGTCTTAAATTTTATATATTTGTCAATTTCAGGTACATGCTATTCCATTGAGGTCCAGCTGGGTTATGACGTGTGCCTATGCGCCATCCGGCAGCTATGTGGCTTGCGGGGGTCTGGATAATATTTGTTCAATATACAGTTTGAAGACACGAGAAGGAAATGTGCGAGTTAGTCGAGAACTACCAGGCCATACTGGCTATCTATCATGTTGTAGGTTTATAGATGATAACCAAATAGTAACTAGTTCAGGAGATATGACCTGGTAAATATAGTCTACTCTACTTTTACTTTAGCATGCAAATTTTCACGAAATCTTAAATCTGAAATATTCATTGACTACGAGCTGAAGTTTGTATTAGGATTTTTACCCTCAACCAATGAAAAGTTCATATCTATAAGACATTGAGTCGACTGGCGCGGTTTCGAATCCCCGGTTGTACGTGACAAGGAGTAGGGTCGCCTGTCCATACTGGTGGGTTTTCTCCGGGTCCTCCGGTTTCCTCCCACTGCTAAAGACCCCTATGCGCAAGCGAATTATTGAAATAAAATTAAACCATATGTTAGTCCCGCAATGACCTAGTTTGTGTCGAGTGGACGTTAAACCCCATTTCTCTCTCTCTCTCTATCAGACATGTTTTAAGTTTTTATGAAAAAGTCTGTATGTCTTCCTGTAGGACATTGTTCCAAAATATTACTTTCAACCAAGACTATTTGTTTGGATGGGATTTAACACCAGAGTCCACTTTGTATTCGTTGGCATTATGATGAGGAGGAGGTAGAAATGTTTGGTTAAAATTCCCCTCATGGCAAACTGCATGGTGTATGCTGCCTTCATTTCCTGCTTAAAATGTATCACTTAAGTCAATTATTGTAAATTGACCATCTGAAACTCCTCCGGGTTGCTCAGATACATAGGGTCAGAAAATGTCCATGTACGAGTTTTGTAATCTGATAATGAATCCAGTGATTGTTACCATTTCTGTTAAGTTTTGACAGCCACCATATTGATGTCATCATTTTTACTTTTATTCCGTTTATTTTATCTTATAGTGCACTGTGGGATATAGAAACCGGTCAACAAACTACATCGTTCACAGGTCACACCGGCGATGTTATGAGTTTATCTTTAGCACCAGATTTTAGAACATTTGTTTCAGGGGCCTGTGACGCCTCCGCAAAGGTTTGTACAAAATTTGGTTTTACTATTCCTTGAACGATGATCATGAATGATGGCTTACGTTTGAATAAATCATGACCGGCTGAAATTGTCAACATAATAGACTCTTTATTTTACAAGGATAGCAAATATTGGGCATATATTCAAGTATTCAAAATGGGACTTCCCATCTGATAAAATGAAATGAAATGGGGTTTAAAGACGTACTGTTCTGCTCCGACTAGGCTAATGAAGACGGACATACACCGTACAGTGTACTATAAGGGACATTTTGTCCTGAAAGCAGCGCTGTGACCTACTCTTGCATCCAATTCCAACTGACAAGGTATCTTTTATGTGCACGCCAATGTGTACACGAGACACCAACTGATAAATGAGGATTGGATGGTAGAGTGGTCTAAAGCATGATTTAGATCATAGGATCTGTCATTGACTCGAGTGGTGTAGGTTCGATCCCAACCTTGTACCTCAGAATCTGAAGCTACTTAGACAAACTGCTTACTGAAACTTTTTTGTCCCCCGCCTTTCGAAGAAAGCAGGGGACTATTAAAATGGGTTCGTCCGTCTGTCTGTCTGTCTGTCTGTCTGTCTGTCTGTCTGTCCGTCCGTCTGTCTGTCCTTCTGTCTGTCCGTCTGTCTGTCCGTCACACTTTTTGGGACACAATAACTCTCTTCCTAATTGAGCTAGAATGTTCAAACTTGGTGTATGTGTTTATTAGGTCAGTGCCTTGATGGAGTTCGAAGATGAGCATTTTCCGCTTAGGGTAAGCAGAGATAAGTAATTTGATTGGTTGATGCTTTGGGACACGATAACTCTCTTCCTAATTGGGCTAGAATGTTCAAACTTGGTGTATGTGTTGATTAGGTCAATGCCTTGATGGAGTTCGAAGATGAGCATTTTCCGCTTAGGGTAAGCAGAGATAAGCAATTTGATTGGTTGATGCTTTGGGACACGATAACTTTTAATTGAGCTAGAATGTTCAAACTTGGTGTATGTGTTTATTAGGTCAATGCCTTGATGGAGTTCGAAGATGAGCATTTTCCGCTTAGGGTAAGCAGAGATAAGCAATTTGATTGGTTGATACTTTGGGGCACGATAACTCTCTTCCTAATTGAGCTAGAATGTTCAAACTTGGTGTATGTGTTGATTAGGTCAATGCCTTGATGGAGTTCGAAGATGAGCATTTTCAGCTTAGGGTAAGCAGAGATAAGCAATTTGATTGGTTGATGCTTTGGGACACATTAACTTCAGTTCTAATTAAGTGAGATTGATGAAACTTGGTGTATAGTTTCATTACAGTAATACCTTGACTAAGTTTGATAATGAGCATTTTCTGCTCAGGGTAAGCAGAGCGATACGCAATTTGATTGGTCGAGACTTTGGAAAACAATAACTCTCCTACTTTGATTGTCCCCCGCCTTTCGAAGAAAGCAGGGAACTATTAAAATGGGTTCGTCCGTCTGTCTGTTTGTCTGTCTGTCCGTTCCGCTTATGGTAAGCAGAGATAAACAATTTGATTGGTTGATCTTCGAATTGAGTAAATGTTCATGCTTATTGTCCCCCGCCTTTCGAAGAAAGCAGGGAACTATTAAAATGGGTTCGTCCGTCTGTCTGTTTGTCTGTCCGTTCCGCTTAGGGTAAGCAGAGATATACAATTTGATTGGTTGATGCTTTGGGACACTATAACTTTAGTTCTAATTAAGTGAGAGTGATGAAACTTGGTGTATAGTTTCATTACAGTAATACCTTGACTAAGATCGATAATGAGCATTTTCTGCTCAGATTAAGCAGAGCGATAAGCAATTTGATTTGCTGAGACTTTGGAACACAATAACTCTCTAATTATTTTCCTATTTCGGCGGGGGACATCAGCCTCACTGTTGGCTTGTTATTTACATTTTGCGATAGAATTTTCTCAACTAATAACTGACCATTATTTATTGTTTTTTTTTTCAGCTTTGGGATGTTAGAGATGGCATGTGCAAACAGACTTTCTCAGGACATGAGTCAGATATCAATGCAATCACAGTAAGTTTTTGAATATTTGTACAACTCATGAAAATAGACTAAAACGGATCAAGGTGTCAAGATCTCAACTGACTTAAAATATTTTAAACTATCCTGACTTCTGGGCGGTTGGATGGCCGAATGGTTAGCACGTCCGTGCTGTATCAAAAGGCCTGTCATTGAGTCAACTGGCGTGGTTTCGAATCCCCGGTTGTACGTGACAAGGAGTTGGGTTGCCTGTCCAACCTCGTGGGTTTTCTCCAGGTCTCCGATTTCCTCCCACTGCTAAAGTAGCAACACTGGTATCAGTGACCTATTTTCAAAACTGACATTGTTTCTATTGCACATTTTCATGTGGCAAGCAGTAGGATCACCTGTCTCATCTGGAGGGCTTTCTCTGTGTTCTCCGGTTTCTTCCCACTGCTAAAGAAACCTATGTGCATGAAAAGTATTGAAATAAAAGTACATGTTACTCCCAAAATGACCTAGTATGTGTTGGGTTGACTTTAAACCCAACTTCTTATTTAATTTCTAATATTGTGTTTTTGTACTTCAGTACTTTCCCAACGGATTTGCATTTGCAACTGGATCTGATGACGCTACTTGTCGTTTGTTTGATATTCGAGCTGATCAAGAGATCGGCATGTATTCACACGATAACATCATTTGTGGTATCACATCCGTGGCCTTCTCTAAGAGTGGACGCCTTCTGTTGGGAGGCTATGATGATTTTAACTGCAATGTATGGGATGTCCTAAAGCAAGAACGAGCAGGTACGATATTCATATTGCAACATTTTTAGTCCCAGCCTTTCGAAGAATGCAGGGGACCTTTAACCCCTATCCTTGCATCAATACAAGTAATTAATGAGTATCATTTATCTATTTCTGGATTGACTCGGGTGACATCAGACTCACTGTTGGCTCATAGTTCGGTGCAGGCGTTGCATCGACTTCCTGATCCTTAGGGGGAGGTCTGTACCTTTTGGGATCTGTGTGTAGTTCAGAGAAGGGGAGTTGGATGGCTGAATGGTTAGCATATGCGCGCTATATCATAAGTTTGTCATTAGTCAACTGGCATGGTTTCGAATCCCAGGTTGTGCATGGCGAGGAGTAGGGTTGCCTGTCCAACCTCGTGTGTTTTCTCCAGGTCCTCCGGTTTCTTCCCACTGCTAAAGACCCCAACACTCAAGCAAATTAATGAAATAAAATTGAACCATATGTTAGTCCCGAAATGACCTAGTTTGTGTCGAGTGGAGTTAAACCCCATTCCTCTCTCTCATATGTCAGCTTAGAGGAAGTCTCAACTTTTAATAGCAACCAAGCCCCTGTCACTTGCGTATGTTAATTGTGATGTTAAACTAAACTTGCTTGTGATATTGACTATTTGAAGTTAAGTGGACTGCAGCCACTGCTTGGGCAAAATTCTCTTTTCAATAGGTCACCAGTTTAGACATTTTTGTTCGCCCACATTGAAATGTGGTGGTATATTGCCATCACCCCCATCCATATCTACGTACGTCATCCACAATTTCTTGTGAACACTCTACAGACTACATTTATCATCTGATTGTCTTGAAATTGATATATGTTTACATCAGTGAGTTGAAGAACTCTATTTTATTAGATGTTTCTTAATTAATTTAATTGAATTAAAATATCATTAGTATTAAAATATTATTATTAATGTTTTACAGGTGTATTAGCTGGTCATGATAATCGTGTTAGTTGTTTGGGTGTTACCGAGGATGGCACAGCCGTAGCAACCGGATCCTGGGATAGCTTCTTAAAAATCTGGAATTGAGGCTAAATGTCCTCACGAACTTGTGTCTTGTTAGCTTCTCTTTTCTATTAACGGCAGTTTAAATCGTGAAAGGGGAGGCAATTCTTGTATTTGACAAGTCAAAAGAACTATTAATTTAGACTGTTGACATTGTGCTAGAAGATTTCAATATGGCCAGAAGAAGAAAATAACAAGATAGAACAGAAATATAAAATGAAAACTTAAAAAAAAAAAAAACAAAAAGAAAAAACATCATTGAGTGTAAATATGTAACTGGTGTACTAAGACGTACAGCGGACAATTTATGTAAATGTACTGTCTCTTCTACTTGACCGTTTTGTTTCCTTTTATTTGATTGGTAGGTTAGCTCATCACAAAGCTGCCAATTATAATATTACCCACAATACAACAGTCAAAATGGATCCAGTACATCTGCTCAAAAAACAAGGATGACAATATTACAAGCCTCTTCAAATTACCCGACAAATAATAATTCTTCTCTCTCTTCAATTTGACGGAATTCTATACTTCATGTTTTTTAATCTTAGGTGTTTGTTTCATAGTTGTCATGACAACACGATGTTGTGACAGTAATTGATGAGATGGAGACCTTGGATCTATTCACACACCTGTTTTTGAATTGTGAGTCGCCTCGTTGACGTCGTTATCATTGGCTTTCTGATATTCTGTAGTTTTCGTGACTACGATTTGAAGGAAGCGGTTTATTTTTGTTCCGCTTATGGACGGAAATTGCTTAATTCTGTTCGCGAACAGGGGTAAGAATGAATTCTCTCTAATTTTATTAATTTTTGTTTTTATGAATTAATCTGTACCATTATTTATAAAAGATTTTTTATATTGATATGATGATCATGTAATGCATTTTTAATTAACAGTAAAAGTGATAAAAATCCAAAAACTCCTGTGAAGATATAAATCAAACTTGACTTAATTTTTTTTGTTTTTCATCATTTTTAAATTTTATTTTGACGGCACGATCCGAGTCATTCTAAACAATAAATATTCAACTTTTTTTTTTTTATTTCTGTACTCATTACCACATCAGAAAAATGACAAGTTTGAAAACAAAACTTGAAAGGAGACCCAAACATTCACGAGCTCAAAGCATTTACAATTAATTATTTTATATGTGCGTGATGTAAAATTAGATGTTGCCATGAAAACAGTAGTCTTGATTAACTTGTGATCGAAACGTTTCATTTCATTTTGTGTGAATTTGAACTCGTTTTGAATGCTTGTATAATAGAATGACCAGGTTTTATCTTTTTCGTCAGTTTGAATCGTAAATAGAAATAATAAACAATATGGCTTAAATTTTGGGCGTGTGCAATTTGTAAAATTTAGATTTAATTACAAAATCTTTAAAATACATGAAATTGTGTACAGTGATCTTTTCTAGATTTTTTTTTTTATTATTTGGTTTCAAACTATTGTGATTAAACCAACAAAATAGGTCATAACAGATTAGTAAATGTATGAAGTTTTTATAGCGCGTATCTTTGTAAATATGATTTCTATTTAAAAATTCATCAGGTTCCGAGCAGATGATGAGGATTCCAAATCGAGATCGAAAGATTAAAAAAAAAATCGCAAATTGAAAATTGTGTCTTAAATCATGTAAAATAAAGAAACATCATTATTAAAACGGATGTTAAACTGTTCTATCCTTTGTGTCCAGAAGTCGCGAAATAATGCGATTATTAATTTGCAAATTTTCTATCTTGACAGTATTACTCGTAATTTTTCGACCTCGTTTTCAAATCCTTGTCGATTAGGTTAGTTGTCTTTACGTATTTAACGATTGAGTCAGATGAATGCCGCTATTTTTTGTCCATATATATATATATATATATAAATATATATAATTATGAATATTTGTGTGTTTATGGAATTCCTAAACCCATTTTAAAAACCTTGATGTATGATCATGAAGGGAATTAGGTAAGGGATTTTGTATATTCATCAGTTTATGTAATTAAATATTGTCCTGTTAAGAAGATTCCAAAGCAACGTCATTTTGTGCTAAATTATAACACAATTAATGCCTACATTAGCTAATATGTCTCGTCAGATTTCATAAAAAACATTGACAGTAATAGTTTCAACAAATCTAAATTATTAGTCAATATGTCGGGTTTGATGGCTGTGAATTCCAATCTAGTTTTTGTTGGCAAATTCTGAAAATTCTTCATTTTTCTACGAAATTGAGACACAAATCTTGACATTGAAATCTGGACTTAAATTTATGGCCGTCCCACTCGACTTTAAAAATCATAATATTTATTGCAATCATCTTTTCTGTTTTAATTTTTGTCACTATTAGAAATGTAGGATAATTTTTAAAAAGGGCACGTGACCGAGAAATGCTATTTCCCTTGATCCTTCAATTAACTCTTTATGAAATGTTGTCCATCGCGTCTTTTATCATTCGTCATCATGAATACCGAAAGACCAAGTATATAATCTTCATTGAAACATGTAGATATTAATTAATTATTTGTGTGATATTCGGCAGTGTATGTGCATGTTTGTGGCTAGATTCTCACTAATCGGTGTGCACTCATCTTTTAAAAAAAAAAAAAACACAGCGTTTCTCTTAAAAGTAAAGAGAAAAGGCCTTGCCAAATTTCATTCACAAAACGACACAAATATTAAATTATTGTTTCTGTTATATATTTCGTTTCTTAATTTTTTATTGACTGATTATCGCGATCTGAAGCACAAAATCGTTGATCAACACCTTCGTTCAAGCGTGAATTTACTAAGAGCAAGAAATGTACGTCGACCTCCCTGCAGGTTGGTTCAATTTTATGATTGGTCAATTACTTGGGTATTTCTATCATCATTCGTTTTGAAAGTATGGCACATGTTTGAAACGTTTACATCTCGGGGACGATTGTCCTTTCATCTCTAGTTCTGCTTAGAATAAATCATAAATTCGCTAGAATAGGTCAAAGGTCAGTCAAGCTTTTGTATTTTGCTACCATCTATCTGCATCTTCGACATATCTTAGGAATTTTTCTGTATTCATTTTGAATATGGACGTGCATTGTTGTAAGACTAGAACGTACAAGGCTATGAGATTATTGAATGCTTTCTCATCAATTCATAATTCTCTTTGTTTCCATAGAAACTAGTTACTATGGCTACAGGTGCTGCACATTGTCATAGTTACTAAGCCAGTCGTGTAAGTTTATGATTTGGTCCACTTTGATTTCCTCCTCTCAAAGCTGACTTGGACCATTCATAATTCTATTGTCGTCGTGGAAACAAAGTGAAGAAACTGGTGTCAAGTTTTTATCGTCATCTCATTTTGGAAGACGGGATCTGTCGTCTTCGCTAATGAAATCATTCTAATGTTTCTAAGTTGATTAAATGATATAAATGTGTTATAATAGTTAAATAACTTATAAATAAATGTAGCGCATGAATTGGATTTGATATAACACCACCATATTTGGACTAAAGTTATGAATCAATCAACATTTGATTGGATAACTGGTCGACCAATGAAATCTTGTTCCCACTATTTAAATACTACCATAATCTATGTATGCGAGAATGTTGATATAGTGTTGAGTGTCTGTATGTACTGTTTATTCTCCAACCTTTGCTTGTGTACCAATGTAAGTAAACTCTTCAGAAACATGTTTTAAAAATTGCTTATGTCCTTTGGTATAATTATAATAACTGTATATTTAGTCTCTTCAGTTTTTAGTGCAAACAACAAAGACAACAACTTTTGTTCAATTTGTTAATTTAATTACAATTTATCATTGTCACATGTAGAATTTGTGTTAAATTAAGCGACACATTCGAAGACATATGATTTAATTTTTTTTGTAAAAGCAACTGATAGGTCTGTCCCTCGTGTTTAAAATGGTACGGACCAATCAGATTCGTCGACTAGTCTGATGATAAAGAATTACGTTAACCCACTCATATTCTATGTGTACATGTATTATTTCATTTGTCAATTAAAGCTATTGGTCTTTAAATAAAAAAAAACATGTCTGCTTTATTTCTTCAAGACAAGAATAAGACCAGGGCCCTTATTCACGAAAACTTAAACTAAGATACAATCGAAATTTTAAGAAATACTGCAATTCGATTGGCTGACCAGTAAAATCAATTTGCATATATCCAATGAAGTTGCAGTATTTCTTAAAATTTTGGTTGTAACTTAGTTTAGGTTTTCGTGAATAAGGGCCCAGGGCCCTGTTTCTCGAAATTTTAACTAAAGATAAAATCCAAATTTTAGTAGATACTTCAATTTTGATTGGCTAAGCACTAAAGTCAATCTAATATTATCCAATCAAATTACTAAAATTTGGATTTTTATCTTAGGTACAATTTCGTGAAACAGGTCCCAGGGCACTCGTTTCGGTCATGGCGAAGGGGGTTTGGGGGTCGATTGGTCAAAAGATGTGTGCTTTAGATCATAATGTCTGTTATTAAGTCAACCGACGTAGTTTCGATTCTCAGCTTGTACAGGACAACCTAGCGGGTGTTTTTTTTTATCAGGTCCTCCGGTTTCTTCCTAGTGCTAAAGATCCCTATGTGCAAGCGAATTATTAAAATAAAATCAAACCATATGTTCGTCCCGTAATGACCTTGTTTCGAATCTCAGCTTGTCCAGGACAACCTAGCTGGGTTTTTTTTTTTATCCTGGGCCCTCTGGTTTCTTCCTAGTTCTAAAGATCCCTGCGTGCAAGCAAATTATTAAAATAAAATTGAACCATATGTTAGTCCCGAAATGACCTAGTTTGTGTTGAGTGTTATTGAGTCAACTAACGTAGTTTCGATTCCCAGCTTGTACAGGACAACCTAGTGGGTGTTTTTTTTATCAGGTCCTCTGGTTCCCTCCTAGTGCTAAAGACCCCTACGTGCAAGCAAATTACCAAAATAAAATTGTACCATATGTTAGTCCCGAAATTACCTAGTTTGTGTCAAGTGAATGTTAAACCCCATTTCTTTCATACTTCTGTATCATATCCTATTCGGGTTACTTACTGATTTTTGCAGAGTCACATTTCAACCAATGTTCCCTGAAGCAATGTCGTCGCAAGTTTTACAACATCTAGCTTCATAAGATGTGCGTAGTTCCGGCGAGATCAAGCCTTCTATTGAAGATGATTTCAACCAGGATTGTCTAGTCCTGTTCAGGCTGCTTATAAAAGGTCGCTCAGTAAGAAATAAATACAGTTGTAGTAATTGTTTCGCATCGGTACGAAAACGAAAACATCATCGATTCGTGTGTACTTGTGACGTCAATCCGTAATGAGTGTTCGGCCAGTGAAAAACGTTACGCGTATGGAGCTGGATTTACGTAGGTATGCAAACGAATATGTTTCTTGTCTCATATATTGAACTTTTGCACCATTTTTCGAGGCTTTGTGTATATTGCTGTTTGTGTAGGGTTCGTAGAATGTGCTCAAAAGCAGTATTCTGCTTGATTTGTTGTACATCTGCCCAAAAATTGATTGAAAACATTGACTTGACCGAGAAGTCCATGGAGTGGAAAATCTATTATCGTCAACGGGTTGCGAAACCGAGTGTTAGAGGATACAAAAACCGAAAACGTAAACGAACATATGTTCATTTTGGTGTTCGTTTTCGTACCGATGCGAAAGGTCCACTGTCATTATCCTGAAACGGGATAGCCTACAGTAGAAACAGTCAGAATTACAATTTAGTACTACAACAGACATGGTCGCTGTAGTCATGTCATGGGCTCGAATCTGAGTACAAAGTGCACTGCGCGTAAAAATAATCCCTTGACGGCAATTCTGCAAAGAACTCAGACCGCAGAAAGCGTGTGCTAAGTGTTGTGGTTTGGGTCCAAGCCATAGACATGGAGTGTATCTTCAAAGCAAATACTGCCAAATCTGATTAAGACACAGATGCTATTTCGTTTCGTTTTTTATAGTTCAAAATTTTGTTTTACTTGTTTTTACTACACTATAGTGTAGTGTAGGCCATCGACAGTATAGACAAACGAAATATAGATCTGTGTTTTAATCAGATTTATTACTGCCTCAGTTGAATTCTGTATGATGATTGATCATAATCATTAATTTGATTGTAAACCTCAATTGCATTTTTTTATGACAGTTGATCATATTATATTTATCACCAAACCTTCACTGGGGCTTAAATTATAACCCATTTAGACAGTTGGATGGCCGAATAGTTAGCGCGTGCACGTTGTATCATAGGGTCTGTCATTCAATCAACTGGCGTGGTCTCGATTCCCCGGTTGTACGTGATGAGGAGCAGGGTCGCCTGTCCAACCTGGTGGGTTTTCTCCGGGTCCTCCGGTTTCCTAGCACTGCTATAGACCCCTACGCACGAGCGAATTATTGAAATAAAGTTTAACCATATGTTAGTCCTGAAATAACCTAGTTTGTGTCGAGTGAACGTAAAAACTCTCTCTCTCTCTCTTCTCTCTTGGTTTAGCTTGACTGCATGTATACAAGTCGGTTCGCCTGAATTACAATAGACAAAACCCTGTTGTTTGAAATAGTAGATTAATCCTATAGCCAACCTTTGCACCGGGGAGAATCTAATTATAAAACCTACATCAACATTCAAATGAATTTTCGGGTTGTCGGCCATCTTTCTCTCAATATATACACTATAATTATGTACTGTGATTTCTTCCTGTCGATTATGCAGGACGAAGGGTCCTGCAAAGAACAGTGTCTAGTTGAGTAGATGGGACAAAAACACAAGCTGTGTGTACACATTGGCGTGCACATAAAAGAACCCTTCACAGTTGGAATTCGATGAAGAAATGCCACTGTTGACATACAGTTTTTCTCCAAGCTGATTAAAACACAGATCCTATTTCGTATCGTTTTTATAGTTCAAAATTTCGTTTTACTTGTCTTTACTACACTTGGATCTGGAACATGTAGTGTAGGTCATCGAAAGTATTAAAAAAAAACGAAACGAAATATAGATCGGTATCTTTGTCAGATTGCTTTTTCTCATAGCACTCTGCATAGCAACCGATGCATTGTAAGCAAGACCCAAATCTGCCTATTGCAGTTCTTTATTTTGGCTTCAGATGGTTTATAAACTATTGTTTAGTCATTTATTCGCATGCCAAGCCTATAATCAACTCTCTATCGGATGGCCGAGATTTAAACGGATTATAAGACGATCACCATTTAATTTAAATATTTTATCTTCTCTGCAGAGCCCTGGATTAACCACATGGTCACGAGCTTGGTGCTTGTCAGTCCCTCCATCAACAGCCTCTCGCCATATTAGCGTTTAACGCAAATATGGCGGACATGGTCTAAGCAACTCAATATCTAAGCCACCCGATCATCTAGAGAGTTGATTGATTACGGGCTTGCCGTGTGAACACGTGTTTAAATAATAATTTATATAACATTTGAAGCCAGAAACACGCCCGACAATAGGTAAATTTAACTCTCGTATAATTCCTCTTTAATGGCAAGAAAATCTATATGCTGCTATTTAAAAATGTGGGTGTACATATCATTGGTAATTCCAATAGCGTATACTATGCTATGGTATACGATAGAAACAAATGCACCACGCCCAGATTATACCCGTTGGCGCGTGTAATATAAAATGGAAGTCAAGCTATATAATAAAATATAATATGACATGTCGGACTTTATTGCGATACTTTGTCCTTCCGTGATTCATTATCTCTTGCGTATTATAACCTCATCATTAAGGGAGATTAAAGAGACATTCTACACACAGGTTCATCTACTTCATACTTCGAGAATATATCTCTGCCCCAAATGGCCGGCATATCCAAAAATAAGTACATGTATACTGTTTGCTCCGAAATCTGAGAACCAGGCTTGAAATCATTCTGCACACTGAGATCCAACTACATGTACTTCATACTTCGAGAAAAAATGGGGGGTTGGATGGCTAAATGGTTAGCGTGTACGCGCTGTATCATAAAGTCTGTCATTGAGTCAACTGGCGTGGTTTCGATTCCCCAGTTGTACGTGACAAGGAGTAGGATCGCCTGTCCAACCTCGTGGGTTTTCTCTGAGTCCTCCGGTTTCCTCCCACTGCTAAAGACCCCTACGCGCAAGCGAATTAATGAAATAAAATTAAACCATATGTTAGTCTCGAAATGACCTAGTTTGTGTCGAGTGGACGTTAAACCCCATTTCTATCTCTCACTCTCTCTCTCTCTCTCTCGAGAACAAATCTCTGTCCTAAATGGCAGCCATATCCAAAAGATAGTATATTGTTTTGTAATGTGGTTCTACCCCGTTTCTCATCTGGCATAAGCACAAGGGCTAAATAAACCTATTTAATTCCATTAAATGGAAGCAGAATAAATACTTCTTAAAATTCTCGAAATATACTTAGTGTTTTCGACTAAAATCGTCGATTTTGGACTTAAAATGTCGGTCAACATGCTTATAGTGTCTGTTCTCAAGTGACGCTAACTGTAGACAGACAGCCTAAGTTTAATATGGTAATCTACGTCATAGTCTATATCGTGCTTTTTAAGACACATTCAGCGTGGTGTGGAGGGGTGGTGTGTGGTTGGGAGGGGGGGATGTTAGCGTAGAGACAAGGGTGACTCTAGTTCAGCTCTGAACGTAGTTGTAATGAGACCTACGTTCAGAGCTGAACTAGGATAACATAGGTCAATAGGTCGCTTTTTTTGGTAGAAGAAAACAACAAAGTGGGCCGAGGCCGTAAATTATGCCAGATAAAAAGATTGGGGACCCTTGCGGTCTATATTATAGAATTATGCTATGTCGAAAATTATTAAGACGGCATACCTCTTTAAATCAAATAAAGCTAATCCACACCATCCACGTTTTTTTTTTCAAAAAATTAATTATTTGATTTCCGACTTAATCATTTCTGAGTGTTTGGAGAAAGATAAAGGTTTGTCCAGTGTAATCAATTGAATACATGCTAACAATAATTAATAAATTCCGAAATGTCTTCCCAAGATTAAATTTATCCACGAATCGATTCATCATCGA